CATAGTGACCCTGAACAGGGTTTCTGAGGCTATAAATCTTGATGGGAGCAGAAAGTCTCATCTTTCTCCCACGGAGCAGCTGGTAGTTTCGAACGGCTGACCTTTTGGTTCACAGCCCAATTCGTAACCACTATGCTACCAGAGCTCTCTCTACATATATATCCATAGTCTTTATACAATAATTATATACCAGCGATGAATCAAAAAACATTGCTACAAAATCAAAGAAACTTTTATTAAACAAAAATATCAAAATATGAAGCTTTGTTTCTCAACACATCCACCATCTAGCTCTATGTTGTTGTTAAGTGTCATCAAGTTGGTATTGACTCTTGGTGGTCCTGCGCACCATCACAATTGTTGAGCCCATTGCTGCTGCCACTGTGCCAATTCTCATTGGAGGTCTTTCTCTTTTTCTCTGACCCTCCATCTTACCACCTCTCCTCTACAGGGACTGGTCCCTCCTGACAAAACATCCAAAGTATAAGAGACAAAGTCTTGCCAGTCTGCCTTCCAAGGAGCATTCTGGCTGTACTTCTTCCAACATGGAATGGTTTGTTCTTTTGGAGTCCATGTTACTTTTATTATTCTCCTCCAACACCAGAACGCCAATGCATCGATCTTCTACAGTCTTCCTTACTCACTGTCCAACTTACACATGCAGATGAGTTTGCTGAAAATATTATGGCTTGGGTTAGGCGCACCTTAGTCTTCAAACTCTTGAACACTTTAAAGAGGTCTTCTACAACATTTTTGCCTAATGCAATATATTGTTTAATTTCTTGATTGCTGCTTCCATGAGTGTTGATGGATGATCTGAGTAAAAATGAAGTCTTTGACAACTTCAATCTTTTCTCCTTTTATATGCATGTTGTTTACTGGTCCAGTGCTGAGGATTTTTGTCTTCTTTACATCAAGGTGCAACCCATATCGAAGGCTGTGGTCTGTGATCTTTTTCAGTATTTTAAGTCCTCTTCACTTTCAGCAAGCAAGGTTGTTTCATCAGCATATCGCAGTTTGTTGATGAGCCTTCCTCCGATCCTAAGGACACATTTTTCTTCATATAATCCAATTTCTCAGATTATGTGCTCAGCATATAGATTGAATATGCATGGAAAAAAAAAATACAACCCTGCCACACACCTTTGCTAATTTTAAACCATTATGAGTTCCTTTGCTGTATCTTTGTCTGTGTACAGGTTCCTTATGAGCACAATTAACTGTTCTAGAATACTCATTCTTGGAAATGCTGTCCATAGTTTGTGATGATCTGCACATCTAGGTCTATACCCTTCTCCAACCCTTCCCTCAAAGAATTCTACACCTGATTTATACTGTCAAAATGGAAGTTTGGGTATCCTAAGAGGAACTCAAATCATGTTCCTTTTAAATGTTCTTTGGGGAACAAAAAGAAACCTGAAAGAGAAACCTCAGGACTTTAAGGTGGATGAAATGAGGTTTCCCAAAGAAATTCTCACAGGTGGGTCCTTGTTACCCTAGAAGAATGAACAGGTGCACTATCATGATGGAAACAATTCCTTGGTACAACTTTCCTGGCCTTTTTCTCATCAATGCAGTGTTCAATCTTCTTGAAA